GCCATTGCACTCCAGCCTGGCGACAAGAGGAAAACTCTGTCTCAAAAAAACCAAAATGAAACAACAACAACAAAAAACCTTCTTTTTATCCAGCAGAGCTGGAGAAGTTAGAGTTGTTTTTGGTATACATGAAGAGCTGGCTTTCTAAAGTGCTACTTTGAGGACTGCTTTGTAAAGTAGTTGATTATTCTTCACTTTGCTGGATTTATGGACCTGGGTTTTCTTACACTGGGATTCATAAGTAACAAATAACATCCGTCCTGAAAGAGTTGCTCAGCAATGTGGTTGTTACGGTGTAGTCCGTATCTCACAGTACAGAACGAGCTCATATCAGCTTCATTTTCTCCTACCACTAGAGTTTTCATAAGTATTTAAAGTGCCCCCAGCAAGCTGTATTTGAATCCCTTTCCCAGGGTTGTGAATGTTGTTTTCCTGTCAGTCAGTATACTCGTGGATGACAGAAAAACAGAGATCCCAACAATGCAAAGTATTCAATGCATAAAAAAGAACAGAAAAAAGAAGCTGCCTTGTTAGTAACGGGCTCTATGGTTTTTCTTATCAAGAGGTCACGATGCCAGTCAGATCACACTAGCCTTGGGCACGGCTGCCTCCTACCCCAGGGCCTGCCAGGCTCTGGGGGCCATGCTGTCCAAAGGAGCCCTGAACCCTGCTGACATCACCGTCCTGTTCAAGATGTTCACGAGCATGGACCCTCCTCCTGTTGAACTCGTAAGTTGTTCTCAAGAACCCCCAATGCCAACTGGTCGGGTTACTCTGGAAGGCTGTGAATGCAAATCCATCATTGTCCTTGTCCTTCCTCAGTCACATTCTCTGCCTGGAGCCTGTTAGGCCCCTGCCATGTAGGGAGCCCGGAGGGTAGGTGGGCAAGCAGTGCCCTCAATGCCTGCCATCCCGAACTGGGCATGTGCTTCTCCTCAGATCCGTGTGCCAGCCTTCCTGGACCTGTTCATGCAGTCACTCTTTAAACCAGGGGCTCGGATCAACCAGGACCACAAGCACAAATACATCCACATCTTGGCTTATGCAGCAAGCGTGGTTGAGACCTGGAAGAAGGTACTGTCAGTTCTGGGAATTTGTGGAATTTGTTTTAGGAGACAAATGTCTTCCTCTGCTTTGATATTATTTGGGAATTTTGGCTGCAAGAAATCTTGGGTCTCTCTAGTAGCGGGCATGTCTTTTCTTCTGTTTCGGCATAGAGAAAGTGCTAAACGTCTCAAGAAAATGTGTATACTTCTCTAATACTCTGCAAACTGTAATTTGAAATGTGACTAAAGAAATGAAACTGATTTCCCTAAAACATAGACAGACACTAGCCTCATTGCTTTTAAATTTCTGTACACTGTGTGACTGTAAAGTTTGACAGTTAAATTGACTCCCAACTTAAGGAGAGATCGGGAAAGCGATTTGCAAGGAGAAGTGGCCGACACCAGAACCCCGCGACAGCAGGCAGATAGCCCAGTCAGGCTCACCAGCTTGTGTGTGTGTTTTCAGAACAAGCGAGTGAGCATCAATAAAGATGAGCTGAAGTCAACGTCGAAAGCTGTCGAAACTGTTCACAATCTATGTTGCAACGAGAACAAAGGGGCCTCTGAGCTAGTGGCGGAACTGAGCACACTTTATCAGTGTATTAGGTACGCAAAACGAAACACTTCTTCAATCAGCCCTTTGGGGAGGAGGTGCTTGGAGTTTTCATATTGAAAGCTGAAGTAACGAAAGCTTCAGAGAGACTTACTCGTTTTATTTTTTCATTTTTAAATAGTATGTAGGGAACTTTAAACAGTTTTAGCAGCATGAGTAACTTTCAGGTGTTCATTTGCCGGAAGTCTGTTGAGTAAATCCTCACAACTTTGACTAAGTACCTGATAGACCAGCCAGGGTCACAAAAATGGATTTGAAGGGTCTATAGGTAAAGTTATACCCACAAAGTTGCTTAGAGAGAAATGATTTATGTGATCGTGCCAATTATATACATAAATGTGTCCTAGAAATAGTGTGTCCTCTTAGGCATGTCTTTCCCCTAATAATTTATACTAGGGATGAAGAAAGAGTTTGCTAAATAAAGGTAAACTTCAACCCAGTCCACCACACTCACTGAGTGTTGTGCAGTAATGATCTTCTCCTCTAAACAAGTGCTTTAGAGTGAGCGGGCAATTGAACTCTGCCTCTTGCACCACACGTTTGAATGGCTGCTGATCCATTCACACCGTTTACTAACAAGCAGAGCTTAGGTCTGGCATGGTGGCTCTCGCCTGGAATCCCAGCACTCTGGAAGGCCAAGGCAAGAAAATCGCTTGAGCCCAGGAATTCCAGACAAGGCTCAACAACATGGGGGACCCTCTGTCTACAAAAAATTAGCCAGACATGGTGGCACACATCAGTAGTCCCAGGTACTTGGGAGGCTGCAGTGAGTCCTGATTGTGCCACTGTACTCCAGCCTGGGTGACAGAGTGAGACCCTGTC